GTCCACATAGACCAGAAACAGCACCAGTTTCTCCCCAACCCCCTTGAGAAAGAGGCACTAGTTAACGCGGACAGCTCCCTCTCCAACATCAATGTTGCAACAACGGAGGTCGGGGCGTGCAGCTCCTTTAATACGGTCCACGCCTTCGGACCGCACTCAACCTCCGGCATAAGGTGCATGACGTGGTGACGCTGGTTCGGCTCCAAACTCTGCGACATCAAATAGTAGCCAGCCGAAGAGCGCTCGTCCCAATCTTCCTGCAGTGTGGGGTTACTCGGTCTAGGCTCCTCCCAAATCATTAGTTTCAGCAAACCGATCTGACGGAAATACAATTGCATTTTCCAGGCCCAATCATCATTGCCCTCACCATTGAACTTCTCGACGGTAAAGTTCTTTAGCACCTCCTTGACCAGCGAGCCCTAGTTTGTTCACGCTCCCCTTGGCGCTGAAACACCAGAATCATGGCTGCCGCTACGATCTTGGGCTGAAGATTCACCAGCTACCGCCGAGGTGTTCCCCGCCATAGCTTTCTATATCGAGGATCACTATAACGTAGCTCTGATACCAGCTTGTTGGTGTAAGGGCCTAATAAACTCAAGCTATTAAGACTTTATCAAACTTAAAACCTCTTCTCGAGGTCACCTCCAAGGGTCCTTCGGTGCCTGGTACAAGACCAGCCCCTATCCTCGGGTCCGAGTTCGTAGAGAGAGGGATCAAGAGGGACTTAGTCAAAACAGCAAGATTATCTTGAACATCGCGCAGCGTATCGTGCAGACCGTTGATCGGATTAAGCTGAGAATTTCCTAATATCGAAGCTCGCTCCAAAAGCTTTAAAATGAACCAAGTTGCCTCAGCGAAAAGTTCTGCCATTACGAAGTTATGGCGCGGACAGCGTTAGCCTAGCGTTGGAGTGCTAGCGTACTAGCGTTGACTCGACTAGCATTCCGCGGTCGCACTGCGTAGAAACAAAATTCCAGGAAGGGAGGAATTCGCCTGAATCAAATTTACTATATTCAGGTACAAACAGAGAAGAAATAAATAGTTCCAGCTAGCAACGACCTTGGCAATGAACCTGGCAACAACCAGGGATGATCCCAAATAATTCCAAGCAACAGAACCAACCTGGCTGGACAAAACAGCAGGTGGTAGGTTGGTAAAGAACCTCTGGTTCTGTTTTTCTAACCTGGGAAAACAACAACCAGGTTCAGGTCCTAAAAACAGAACTGGTTTTGTCTTTGCCCAACCAGCCAAATGCTGGTTCCGCTGGTTTCCCCTGGCCCTGTAGCATGCATATACAGACAAACAACATCCAACCTTCACCTAAATTGTACCCCTATAGTGCCTGCCCTGCTAGACTATAGTCAACCAAACAAAACAGTACAATTTCGAGTTGGATAGAACTGAATGTGCACAAACAATTCCACTGAACCGCAAAGCTTCCATCTTGGTTTCCTTTGCGAGCTCGTCCTTTCTGCTTGTACAGTTCATAGCGCATACAATGTTGTGCCGAAGCGCACAATGCGCGAGTACCTGCAAATGCTTCAAGCAAAAAATTGCGAAAGCAAACAAACACACGAACATTCGACTCACACCCAAATGGATTCGCACATGCATACTCGTACAAACCGACCGCAGGATGTCGTGCAATGTGAATTTGCATCCAACAAACTCCCCCTCAGCCTGCCGGCTGCATCCCTATGAGTCCATGCTAGTTCATGCTCATTCCACTCATGCGCACACAACGCCAATGAGGCTCATCCGCAAGCCTCTTGGTGAGGAAGTCTGCTGGCTGCTAGTGAGTCTTGATGTAGATCGGATTCACCGTCCCCCTCTTCACCTCCTTACGCAGCCAGTGCCACTTGATACGCATGTGCTTATTGAGCCCATGAAGCACAGCGTTCCTGGCCATCCCAAGAGCCCCCTTGCTATCACAAATCAGCGGCGTAGCAACCTTTTGCTCCTGGCCAATCTCCTCTAACAGCCTCCTCATCCAAATCACCTCCTTGACCCCATGAAACATTGCCATGTACTCTGACTCCACAGAAGAGAGTGCCGTCTCCGTCTTCTTCTTTGACCTCCAATGAACCGGTCCTCCCCTAACTACACAGATGTATCCTCCCACAGATGAGGAATCCTCCTTCTCAGAGGCCCACGTAGCATCGGTAAAGCAAGTGAGAAAAAGCTTGCCTTATCCAACCCGCTCCCCCTTCTCTTTCAGAACCTCAATCCATTTCTGCTTCACCTGTGCAGATGCGGAGTATTGAACTCCAATGCTTGGGTGGGAAGTCACATACTTCACCACACGCTCAGCTGCATCTATCTGCTCCTCTGATGGATTCTGCACCACCCTAGCAAGCTGCCCAACCGAGAAAGAGATGTCCGGCCTCGTGTGAATTGCTGCGTACAAGAGACTGCCCACCAAGGACTGAAATTGATGCTGCTCCTTAGCTTCAAGCCCTTCATCCTCTGCAGATTTCACAAGCTTGAATTCTGCTGGCAGGGGAGTTGCAACTTTGCGCTTATTTCAATCCCGTACTTCTCCCCCAGCTCCTGGATAAACTTCTCCTGGTGTTGCTTCAATCACCTGTGAACTCAATCCCTCTCCATATGCATCCCGAGGTAGTACTTTACCTCCCCAAGGTTCTTGCACTTGAAGTTCTCCATCAGCTGCTGCTGCACCTTTTGGATCTCCTTCATGCTGGTGCTGAAGAGAAGAATGTCCTCCACATGGACAAGAAACAGCATCGGCTTTTCCCCCTCCCCTTTGAGAAAGAGGCTCTTATCACAGCTGCTGGTCTTGAATCCCATCTCCTCTAATACAGCTGCCAACTTCTGGTACCAGCAGCATGTCGCCTGCTTCAAGCCGTAGATGGACTTTTTCAGCTTGCACACCCTGCCCGTACCATCCTCATACCCAGGCGGCTGCGTCATGTATTCATCCTCCTCTAAAATCCCATTGAGGAATGTCGTTGATATATCCATCTGAATGATGAATTTCCCACTAACGGTTGCATCTGCCAACAAGACACAGAAGGTAGGGGGTTTGGCAGTGGGAGCAAAGATCTCATTGAAGTCCCGCTTCTCCTTCTGCATAAACCCCTTAGCCACCAACCTACTCTTGAAGATGATGACCTGTCCCTTGTCATCGGTCTTGATCCTTAGTACCCACTTGCACTGTACAGCTTTTCTTCCCCTCAGGCAGCACCACCAGCTCCCACGTCCCATTCTCTAGCAAGGTCTGGTACTCAGCATTCTTGGAAACCAGCCACTTCTCCCTATCTGGTCCAGCTAATGCCTCCTCCATGCTAGCTGGTTCCTCTGGTGCATGGGCAAGAAAACAGTAGACAGGTTCATCCTCCTCATCTAGATCATAGCCATGCGGTAGAATCAGCGATGCCTCCCCGGTCCCAAACCGCTGCTCTGCTGTATCAGCTCATGCAGTCAGCTTCTTAGTAGCCATACGAGTACGTCCTTGCCTTGAGACGGGTATTTCCCATCCCCTCATAACGACACCCTTCGGCTTCTTACTTTTCCCCTGCTGCTGCTCTCTTCCCTCGGATCTAGCAGCTCCACTAGTGCTACCGCTAGTCTTCACACCATTCTTTTCACCGGCAGGTGCCGCCTGCACCTTGTGTCCATCACCACCTTCTGCAGCTGCCTCCTCTCCCTCCTCCCACACACTAGGAGTCAGGTCCAGCTGCATGGTGATCTGCTCCATCTGCTGGGACACCCTGGCCTCCGGCTGTTTCTCCCAGCTCCCATACATCATGCCCTCAACAAACTTCACATCCCTGCTATCAAACAACATACCTTTCGAAGGTTCCCACAGCAGCCATCCCTTGCTCTCAGCAGCCAGCCCCAAATGCACACACCAGATTGCAGCTTACTGCGATATGTCTTGGGGACGTGGGCGACTGCAATGCAACCGAACACCCTCAGCATGTCCACCGGCGGCTTCCTCCCAAGCCACCTCTCCAACGGCACCCACGAGTTATCCCCAACCTTTGTGAGTACCCTGTTTCTAGCAACGGTAGCGTGCCGAACAGCATGGGGCCACATCAAGTTGCCCAGCCCAGATTCTATGAGCAGCGCCCTAGCTGTCTCCAGAATTGTCCGGTTCGCCCGTTCTGCTACACTGTTGGTTTGTGGGGTGTAAGCCGTGGTCAGCTCCCTTTGGATGCCCTGCTTCTTGAGCCAGGCAGTCATCTCAGCTCCAAGGAACTCACCACCCTGATCTGTCCTAGTCCGCTTCACCACACACTTCGCTTGCTTCCCCACGAATGGCAGCCAATCTTCGCGTATCGTAGAGGCGGTGTGGTCCTTTTGCTTCAGCGGAAATGCCAAAATAAGCCTGCTCAAATCATCCACTATGGTCAGAAAGTACCGCTCCCCCTTGTACCCTGAACCGGCAGCGGCCCCACCAAGTCCATGTGGACCAGCTCCAACGGCTTCTTGCTCCTGCCAGCCACACTATGGAAGGGGAAACGGGTAAACTTTGAGAGCAAACAGATTTTACAATTCTCATCAGGTGGCTGTCCGTTCAGCTTCAGACCCTTAACGGCTCCATCTTTCTCCAACTGCTTCAACAAGGGCATTGCCACATGCCCCAAGCATCAGTGTGCCGTTGCCCAATCCGTCTCCCCAGATCTGGCCGACACTTTCACACCAACCCCTCCAACGGCGTTGCACTCCCCCTGGGATGCAGACCCCTCTGCAGCCTGCCCCCCACCATGCCACGCCAGCGCCGGCAGCTGCCACATGGATCTGTACACGTTCGTGCTCTCGTGCAGATCTCAAAGCACCCGATTGCCTAGCTGCCCCTTATAAGTGCGTGCCCCATCCGTGCTAGTGCTCACCCCAGCCTTGCCAAGCTTACGGAGGGAGAGGAGGTTGGCCTTGAGTTCAGGAACGAGGAGAACATTGTGCAGCACCACCGGCTTGCCATCCGCTTGTCAAACTCATATGCTATAGTCTTTGTAGGCTGTAGTGGGGTAGAGAATATGGGGTACAACACTTTTAGGTTTTCCTACTTGTACCCACCTGCTTGCTAGTTCATTATTTCCTTCTTCATTTCTTCACATGGTATAGAGCAGATTCCCTAGTGGGAACACTTCTCTGAGCCCACCACTGGATTTTTTGTTTCCTGACCAGAGTGCGAGTCGCCCGTGCCCGAGGCACGCCCCGTTGGCCGCCCTCACGTTGCCTCTCACGGCCCCCTCGCGCCACCCTTAGCGGCCCCGTCGCCACCCCTTACGGCCCCGTCGCTGTCCTTTGCGGCCCTGTCGCCGCCCCCCTCTAGGCCCCTCGCGGCCCCTAGCGGCCCCGTCGCCGCCCCTATCGGCCCCGTTGCCACACCTATCGGCCCCGTCGCCGCCTCTAGCGGCCCCGTAGCCGCTCCTACCGGCCTCGTCGCCGCCCTTTGAGGCCCCTCGCGGCCCCTTCGCGACCCCGTTGCCGCATCTAGCGACCCCGTCGCAGCCCTTCAAGGCCCCTCTCGGCCCCTTTGCGGCCCTGTCGCCGCCCCTAGCGGGCCCGTGGCCGCCCCTATCAGCCTCGTCGCCGCTCCTAGCGGCCCCGTCGCCGCCCCTAGCGGCCCCGTCGCCGCCCTTCACGGCCCCCCTTCAGCTGCCAAGCGGCCGAACCACCAAGCCGCCCAGCAGCCGAGCCGCCCAGCGGCCGAGCCGCCCAACAGCCGAGCCGCCCAGCAGCCAAGCCGCCCTGCAGCCAAGCTGCCCAGCTGCCCAGCCGCCGAGCCGCCGTCGAGCCACTACTGTTCCTACCGGCGTGCACCGGCCCTTCCCACCTGGACTAGTGAGAGCACTCCCTGTTAGACCACTGCTGTCATGGCTACCCCCAGTGTCCTTACTTTGATGCTGAGGGTCGTGCTGTTGACTTTGAGGTCCGGGTCGATGACCTCCAGCTCTTACTACAGTGCGATAGGGCAGACGGACTCTCCTTGTTTGATCTCACCTCTGGTGCCTCTCTTGCCCCGCCTGCTACTGCTGACAGCACTGTTCGGTTACAGTGGGCCACACGCGATGCTGCTGCCCGTCTTGCTGTGCGTCGCCACTTACCGACCGCTGAGCGTGCGCACTTTAGTCAGTACAAGAGTGCTAAGACCTTGTACGACGCTGTAGTTGCACGCTACTCTTCCCCTGCCACTGCTGCTCTTAGCCGCCTCATGCTGCCGTACCTGTTCCCTGACCTTGCTGCCTTTCCCACAGTCGTTGACCTCATTACGCACCTTAGCACTAGTGACACTCGCTACCGCGCTGCGCTTCCTACTGAGTTCTGTGCCAAGAACCCTCCCCCCATGTACATCACCCTCTACTACATAGTCACCCGACTCCCTGACTCACTTCGCTTAGTCAGGGACCACTTCCTCTTGTACTGCCCCACCACACTCACCGTTGACCTCCTCGAGGAGCGCTTCCTAGCAGCAGAGAAGAGCATAGTCACTGTAGGAGCCTCTCGTGGTGACCCTTGTACCCCCGTCTTTGAGGGGTGTTCCCCCTCCCCCCTTTTGCCCTCTGTTTCTTCTGCTGCTGCGGCCGACCTCGTTGGTTTCGAGTCGGTCGGCGCTACGTCTGCCCCTAGCGGGAGACGCCGCACAGGCAAGGGCAAGGGGGGCAAGGGCGCTGGAGGGGCTGGCGGGGGCGGTGGAGGTGGCGGTGGAGGCAGTGGAGGGGGTGGGGGTGGTGGTGGGAGTGGTGGCGGGGGTGGAGGTGTCGGTGGCAGCAGTGGAGGCGGAGGAGGCGGCGGCGGTGGCGGTGGGAGCGGAGGCGGCGGAGACGGCGGCGGCGGCGGCGGTGGTGAAACTGGTCGCGGCTCTACACAGAGGAGTGGCTCTGGTGGTGGTCAGCGCCAGCAGCAGCAGCGCACTCGTGAGACCCTGTCCCCCCAGCAGCTTCGTAAGTGGTACGCTGCGCGTCAGCGATGTGGGGGTACTGGTCCCTGTACCTACGTCCTCCGTACCTGCGATCCCGCTGGTGAGCAGTGCGGGGGCTCGCACTCCACCCAGCACTGCTTCGGCTGCCTGACGGATGCTTGGCGTCACTACTTCCCTAACGCCACTGAGATCCCTCACTGGAGAGAGCTGTCTAGGGCGGGGGTTGCTATCTTTGATCTTGACTATGATGCTATTCTTGCTGCCATGGATGCTGTGTCTGCTAGTGATGAGGGTGACTGTTACCTGTATGTTCCGCCTGACCCGGGCATTGAGGTTGCTGCTCTAGGTGCTGGTGAGGCTGCTGCTCTAGGTGCTAGTGCGTCTGCTGCCCCAGGTGCTGGTGAGTCTGCTCTCTCAGGTACCATGTCAACTCAGGCCTTACACACCTTCACCCTTGACTCGGGTGCTTCTAGCTCCTTCTTTCGAGACCACACCACGCTTACCCCGCTTAGTCGGCCGGTTGCGGTCTCCCTGGCGGACCCCTCTGGGGGTCCTGTACTTGCTCGCTTCTCCACAGTCTTACCGTGTCCGGCAGCCCCCTCTGGCACCCTGTTAGGTCTCTACCTCCCCTCCTTCTTTGCGAAATTGGTGAGTGGTGCTGACCTACAGGATGGGGGGGTTGACCAGTTCACTCCTACGAGTCAGCGGGTGACCGTCTATACGTGTGCTTGGACGGGCCGACACTTGGCCACGTTTACCCGTCGGCCGGGGTCGAGCCTGTACACACTGTCTACTGAGTCTGCTCCGGTTGCTGAGTCTGGTCAGGTAGCTGCATCGAGTGAGGTGTTTACTGCAGAGTCCAGTACTGCGTCTTCCTTGGCTTCCCCCCTGACGCGCCTGGTTGGCAGTTTTACCACCCCACCTCGCGCCGTGTTCTGTCCTCCCAGGACGTCACCTTTGACGAGTCGGTTCCTTACTACCGTCTCTTCCCCTACCGCACTGCGCTCCTCCCCCCGCCGCCGCTCTTCCTTGCGCCAGGTCCTCCCCAGGTAGACCCTCTCCCCCCTGAGGGTCCTGCCCCGTAAGGTGTGTCCCTGGTAGACGCAGTCGAGCCTGTCGAGGTAGCTGTTGACTCTGGTGCTGCTAGGGGTGCTGAGCCTGCGGGTGCCGGGTCTGGAGTCGCTGAGCCTGGGGGTGCTGAGCATGGGGGTGCTGAGCCTGGGGGTGCTGAGCTTGGGGGTGCTGAGCCTCGTGGTGCTGAGCCTGGGGGTGCTGAGCCTAGGGGTGCGGAGCCTGGAGGTGCGGAGCCTGGAGGTGCTGAGCCTAGGGGTGCTGCTGGGGCTGCTGGAGTTAGCACTGATGGAGGTACTACTAGAGCTGCTGACGGTGTTGGAGCTGTCAATCCTGCTGGAGTTCATGCTGCTGGAGCTGCAGGAGCTGGAGCTGCTGGGGGTGTTGGTGCTGGTGGTTCTGCTGGCGCTGGTGCTTGTGAGGGTGCTGGAGTTGGCGCTGTTGGAGCTGGAGGTGCTGCTGGAGCTGGTACTGCCGCAGGGGGTACTGGTGCTGTCCCTACTGGTTCTGGAGGCGCTGCGCGGCCGAGGCCGTACTTCGTTCCGCTCCTTGAGCAGGTTCTTGGTCTCCCGCCCTCTACTAGTCCTGCTCCTCCCTTAGAGTGTCCACAGCCTGTCCTGTCGCGGTCACAGTTACAGCACGCCTTCCCCCTACTTGCTCCTTCTCCCTACACTGGTCCTACTGGAGGTCTTGCTAAGCTTCGTGAGCCTGCGTCTCATCCTGCGTCGCCTGTTCGTGCTGCTCGCACTAGTGGTCGTGCTCCGCGTCCGCGTCCTTCTGCGGTCCCCGGCACACACCAGATGGCACTGCGTCCTTCCACTGCTCCTCTGCATTTCCCGTTGCCGTCTCTTGCAGAGTCCTCTCTTCCAACTCTTGTTGACCCGGAGTCTGACTCTCTTCGTGCTGCTAGTCCTACTGTCATGCGTCTCCTGGCTACTGTTGTCACTAATCCTTCTTTTGAGTCCGCTGCTGCGTCTGCCTTAGTTGCTGAGCTTGTCGACTTTGTTACTCGCTGTCGTCTAGACTACGCCACTAGTCTTGTTGCTGAGTCTGAGTCTGTCTGTCCTCCGTCCTTCAGGGGTGAGTGTGCTCTTAGCACGTACATCCTTCAGGACAGGCAGGAGGATTTCCAGAGTTTTGCTGCTGCTTTGCCTCATCTCGTGTCCACGCTGATTGCCCTTGAGGGAGACCCGGATGCACCAGGCATCCCGACTCCTCGATCGTACGCTGAGGCGATCGAGGGTCCCTACTCCTCACAGTGGCAGTCAGCCATGGACGCAGAGATGGCTTCCTGGAAGTCCACAGGCACCTACGTTGACGAGGTTCCCCCACCTGGGGCGAACATCGTCAGTGGCAAGTGGATTTTCAGGGTGAAGCGGCTGGCGGGTCCTCCGCCTGTCTTCAAGGCGCATTACGTGGCTCGAGGATTGAGTCAGCGGCAGGGAGTTGACTACTTTCAGACCTTCTCTCCCACCTCGAAGATGACCACTCTTCGCATGCTGCTGCACATAGCCGCTCAGCGCGACTACGAGCTTCACTCTCTTGACTTCAGCACAGCTTTCCTGCAGGGCAGCCTGCACGAGGAGATCTGGCTGCGCCGCCCACCATGGCTTCACTGGGTCCTTTCCTCCTGGTACCCAGTGGAGCCTCCAGCGGCCAGTCTACGGTCTCCTCCAGGCGCCCCGTGAGTGGCACGACACACTCAGGACTACACTTGCAGCTCTTGGGTTTGCTCCCTCTACTGCCGACCCGTTGCTATTTCTGCGCACCGACACCTCTTTGCCGCCGTTCTACATCCTCGTGTACGTCGACGACTTGGTCTTTGCCACTGCTGACACTGCTGGACTCGCCCACGTAAAGTCCGAGCTGCAAAAGAGACACACGTGCTTAGACCTGGGTGAACTGCGCGGCTACCTTGGCTTGCAGATCACCCGGGACAGAGCACAGCGCACCTTTACCCTGACTCAGTCACACATGGTGCAGCAGGTCCTTCAGCGCTTCAGCTTCACCTACTCCTCGCCTCAGGCCACTCCTCTGTCTACTCGCCACTCGCTCTCAGCTCTGTCTTCGGATGAGTCTGTAGAGCCGATTGGCCCGTACCGAGAGCTTGTTGGCTGCCTCATGTACCTGATGACGTGCACTCGACCTGACCTTGCATACCCTCTTAGCATCTTGGCACGCTATGTTGCTACTGGGAGACACCGACCAGAGCACATGGCTGCAGCGAAGAGGGTGTTGCGCTACTTGTGCAGTACGTCGAGCATGGGGCTAGTACTTGGAGGGCGACGTCCAGTGGTCCTCACAGGTCACGCAGACGCTTCTTGGGCTGACGACCAGGCTACGCAGCGGTCGTCACAGGGTTACACCTTCAGCCTTGGTTCCGGCTCTGTTTCGTGGTGGTCTACCCGCTCGTCTTCTGTTCTCGGCTCCAGCTATGAGGCTGAGATCTACGCAGGGGCCTTGGCTGGACAGGAGCTATGCTGGCTCACCTACCTGCTGATTGACCTAGGAGGGCCGCCTCGTTCTCCTCCAGTTCTGTACGTACACAACAAGGCCATGCTGGCCTTGTGTCGGGAGCACAGACTAAAGCACAGAATGAAGCACATTGCTCTTCGCTACTTCCTTGCTCGTGAGCTGCAGCAGCGTGGTCAGCTACACCTTGCTTACGTGGCCTCTGAGGCCAACACTGCTTATATCTTTACCAAGTCATTTCCGCCTTGTGATCATCAGCGCTTCTCTACGATGCTAGGTCTTGTGCCTACTTGGCCTCACTTGCTCACTTCTTGACCTTGCTTGTACTGTGATCTTTCTATACCTGCACTTGCTAGTTTACCTTTATATATGATCTTGCATGTGAACTTGCCTTGTGGCCTTGAACTTGTGCTCGGAATGTGTGGTGACGTTGTGATCCACCCTGAGCTTGCTTTGCTTTGCTTGACAGGTCTTGTGACCTATTGTTCTCCCCCACTTTGCCTATGGGGGTGTGTCAAACTCATATGCTATAGTCTGTGTATGCTGTAGAGGGGTAGACAATATGGGGCACAACACTTTTAGGTTTTCCTTCTTGTACCCACTTGCTTGCTAGTTCATTCATTCCTTCCTCATTTCTTCACACCGCTCCCTTAAACGCAGCTCGTCCCGCACCAGCCACCTTCAGCGCGTGTCAAGAGGCGTAGCACACCTCGTTGATCGGTGCAGCGCGTACATGGTCCAGCAGGTCCTTGCGCGGCGTCATCGTCCAAGCAGCGCCCGTGTCCAACACCCAATAATCCAGGGGTTGCAGCTCTGCTCCAACCTTGGCAGAGGCGTCTCCTTGTTCTCCCTTCTTTCCAATATGAAGAACTGGCCCGCGGTGCGCTCCTTCTTTTCCGCACTGCCGTTGCTCTTCGGGTTGTTGTCGGACGAATCAGCGACCATGTTCGCGCCGTTTTTCTGGTTCCTCCGCGCGCCGCCATCCAGGTGACGATTCTGGGGGGTCCATCCATCGGGTTTCTTATAGCACAAAAACCAGGGGTGCCCCTCCTCCTCACAATACCAGCAACTACCTTTCATTTTGCCACCAGCACCCGACTAGCCCCCACGTCCAGATTTCGCACCGCGACCCCATCTGGTACCTCCTTGTTGGTCGTTGGAGTCGTCGTCCTTCTTTCCTCCCAGCACCACCGAAGCCACATCCTCTGCCATGTCGGCTCCCTTGCATCCCATAGCCGCTGCTGTCGTCGTCTCCACCCCTTAGTTGGCGACGATGGAAGTTTGCTCCGAGAGTATCTTCAAGCACTTGGTCTGCTTCGAGTAGGTGATTCCTATATCGAAGCTCGCTCCAAAAGCTTTAAAATGAAACAAGTTGCCTTGCAAAAAGTTTTGCCATTACGAAGTTATGGCTCGGACAGCGTTTGCCTAGCGTTGGAGTGCTAGCGTACTAGTGTTGATTCAGGTAGCATTCCGCCGTCGCACCGCATAGAACCAAAATTCCAGGAAGGGAGGAATTCGCTTGAATCAAATTGACTATATCCAGGTAAAAACAGAGATGGAATAAATAGTTCTAGCTAGCAAGGACCTTGAGAATAAACCTGGGAACAACCAAGGATGATCCCAAGCAATTCCAAGCAACAGAACCAACCTGGCTGGACAAAATAGCAGGTGGTAGGTCGGTGAACAACCTCTGGTTCTGTTTTTCCAACCTGGGAAAACAACAACCAGGTTCAGGTCCTAAAAACCAGAACCTGTTTTGTCTTTGCCCAACCAGCCAAATGCTGGTTCCGCTAGTTTTCCCTGGTCCCGTAGCATACAGATACAGACAAACAACATCCAACCTTCACCTAAATTGTACCCCTATAGTGCCTGTCCTGCTACACTATAGTCAACCAAACAAAACAGTACAATTTCGAGTTGGATAGAACTGAATCTGCAAAATTTATTCAACCGAACCGCAAAGCTTCCATCTTGGGTTCCTTTGCGAGCTCGTCCTTTCTGCTTGTACTGTTCATAGCGCATACAATGTTGTGCCGAAGCGCACAATGCGCGAGTACCTGCAAATGCTTCAAGCGAAAATTGCGAAAGCAAACAAACACACGAACATTCTATTCACACCGAAATGTATTCGGACACGCATACTTGTATAAACAAACAGCAGGATGTCGTGCAATGTCAATTTGCACCCAACATATCGACCTCTCCTTCGCTCAGGCGCAACGCGGACAGCTCCCTTTCTAGCATCAATGGTGCGACAACGGAGGTCGGGGTTGTCAGAATCCCAACCACTAGACCATTGGGATAAAAGGGCTTGTTTCAGTAGCGGGTCAGTGCGTCCATAACCCCCCAGGCAAACGCGCCTGTAACCCCCCCTAGGATCGATCGGGGATCTCACAGTGTAGCTCTACAGACAGGGGTGTACAGTTTCTTCAAAATGGTCCACGCCTTTGGACCGCACTCAACCTCCGGCAACAGGTGCATGACGTGGAAACGCTGGTTCAGCTCCAAACTCTGCGACATTAAGTAGTAGCCAGCCGAGGCGCGCTCGTCCCAATCTTCCTGCATCATGGAGTTACTTCGTC